TATGACAGTATATGATTTATACACAGCACATTGTGAGTTCGTTTTTGCGACATCACTCGTACGTCTGCCCATGGGCACTGTGTGCGCACAATGTTCTTCAAATCGAAGTGTCAATCGTTTCTTCGTTTCTTTCATTAAAATGTGAATATTTCAGAATTGAATTTTTAAGACAAAATTGATAAAATGGCTATATATCGACCAAAGTTTAAAAAAAAAGGAACACAGGATACATTTATCAGGTTAATATAGCTCATTTTCGTATTAAAAATGATTTTTTTTTCGATTATTGGAGTAAAATTTGATTGGTAAGACATTTTCCGATTTTGGTAAAACACTTTCCCATTTTGGACCGACAAAATCAATTCTTCCTTTAATTTTCATGTGTTGAACTCAGTTAATGTTTTTGTCTTTCTTTTTTTCTTTTATTGCTGCAGAAAAAAGATGATTGTAGTATAATGTAAACTCAACCGAAAACAGACAAATCCTGATGCAATTGTTACTACCATGCCTCTTACGACGTGTACTTTGAATTAAAATATTGAGTATTTCAACATAAAACAATTTCAAGATCGAAATTTATTCAATCAAAACAAAAAAATGTGTTGTCATTGAGTGCATCTCAATTGAAATCCATCAATTTGAAGACAAAAAATAAATACAAAATACTGATTCATCAGCACAACGTTGTTGTTTTGTTTTATTATCATATCCTTACTCAATCTGTAGTTCATACATATAATGTTTGTCTGTAAATTTGAGATACCTGGAACAGGTCTGAGAAGTCTATCATGTTGATACATTCATTGGAATTTGAAAATAGTTGAGAAGCGTTCTATATCTCTATGGTAAAACTTACTAAGTACGGCTATGGTTTTGTATGAGGTTCGCTTATGTTTTTTTTTCGTCGTATACGCCATCATTGAGTGAAGTAAAGTAAATATGATTCCATATTTCAAGAGTGTGAAATATTTGCTTGAATTTGCATTTCAATGCGAATTAATTGCATTATTTGGCAAACCATGGGGAAGATGATGTGGCTATAAACGTTACCATCTGATATTTTCGATACGATCCATTTGATGTAAAACGTAAAATTTTGTAAAATTCCACCAATTGACGTCAGTTGTTCGATATAGTTCTCTGGAAACATTGCATTGTTGATTAAATTATAACATAAATGTATTACTTGCTGACGTAACTATACTTGAAAAGTATATAAGAAGATGCGTTCGATTTGTAGGTCCGTTAAACAGTTCTTATCAATTGATACGTTTACAGTAAACTTTTGATAGTTCGAAGCTAGAAAAATGCTGAGTCGAAGATCTTTAAAACTGCTTCTTTTTGGCTTGGTGGTATCCCAGGTGAACAATTTCAATCGTTTTTTTGTAATTCTAATATTGCTAGGAATTATTTCACTTGCAAATGTTGGGTCAATTTTTTATATTTGATTTTTTTTGGCGGACAGTGTGAGATTTTTTTTCTAAATTAATTTCATTGATGAAAATGTCCATTTTGGAGCTTTTATTCGAATGAAAAACAGTTGAAAACAATTTCAATCTCATCCATTGTTCCCATTCCAATTAAATTTGTTTCATTTTCACAGTTCTCAATCGCAGATGTGAGTGGGGAACCATCTGGTCGCAAAAACGGTTATGTGACTCCAAAGAAGCCAGACCCGCCACCCAAATATGCCAAACCTGTTATGATGAATCCGGAAATTCAAACCGTGAAAGCAGGAGCAATAGTTATGGAGGTTATATCTGAAACGGATCACAACGAATCATTCCTATCGACTATTTCAGTGAAAGATCGAGTCAAAGAATTTGAACGTCACGGAAAGAATAACGATGGGGCGCCTCCGAAGAAATCCCATTCCGTAAAAGCGACCAAACCTGCAGAACGACCAGACGGTAGGATTGAAACTCATTTCTTTATGAAGTTTCACTTAAAAATTCCATATACAAAGCACTTTTTAATGTATAGAGTATACAACACGGGCGTAAGATCTACGTCTATTCTTATCTCTGATCTTTGTTCAACGTGGTTCATATTATATGCGATATATATATATTTTAGATGAGAGTATATGTAAAAACTTCTCATTGACATAAACAGAGCGTGTTATGAGCTGATGTCAGCAGCACTAACTGACGTCAGTTGCTGATATCAGCAAATGACGTTGGTTAGCTCTGGACATTGAACAAAAGACATTTTCTTTCACTAATCTATTTTTTTTTTTTTAATTTTCAGTAAATGAAAAAGAGAAAAATGGAGAGACAGCACTGCATAAAGCTGCTGAGACTGGTAACATTGAGCATTTATGTTTGAAAACCATGTTTCGTTCGATATATTTCATTGATCTGAATTATTTTTTAGGTGATGCGAAGGAAGCTCGAAAACTCATCGACAATGGAGCCGATGTTAATATTGAAGGTGATTCGAAAATGACACCTCTTCATTATGCTGCAGTGGAAGGTAATGTTCAATATTTATTTATACTAAATAAGATATTGGTTTGATCTTTTTCATTGGTTTGTACTATTTTTCAGGTCACACGGATGTTGCTAAACTTCTCATCGACAATGGAGCCAATGTTGATAGTGAAAATAATCTGAAAGTGACACCTCTTCAATATGCTGCTAAGAATGGTAACAATATTTTTCCATATTTTCGCTAAATAATATATTGGTTGGATCCTTTTCATTGATCTGTATTATTTCTCAGGTCACAGGGATGTCACTGAAGCGCTTCTCAAGAATAAAGCCAATGTTAATATTGGAAATAGTTTTAAAATGACAGCTCTTCATTTAGCTGCTTATAATGGTAATGTCGAGTACTTATTTTCGCTGAATAAAAAAAATTGGTTTGATCTTTTTCATCGATTCGTATTTTTTTACAGGTCACAAGGGTGTTGTTGAATTGCTCATTAAATATAATGCCAATGTTAATTTGAAAGATGGTTTTAATCTAACACCAATCCGCTATTCTATTACTTTTGGTAATGCAGGGATGTTTATTTTCAAAACACAGAGAACTAAAATGTTGTCCACGAGAGGTCAAAGAAAGTGGTCAAATCCATAGAAAGACAAAAAATATTCGTGTTGTTAAAATAATACAGCCGGTAAAATTGATCAACCAAAAACTTCAAAGTCAATTTCACTTCTCAATTGACTTTTCTGACATCTCAGCGTTACCTTTACCCAGTCACACCACACGCTCTATATTGACAATGTATTTTTTTTAAACCTTCATTTTGATACGCCACTAACATAATTTACACTCAAGTATCTACTTTGTGTATAAAAACGCCATTTAAGGTGCTGCCATCTTGCGTATCACGCACGAAAACTTAGTACTCACAGATTGGACAAAACGACGAGCATGTGGAGTGACTGTCTTTACCGCCGCAATGACAAAACCGATTTTTTTTTGTCTTTTTCATGGATTGGACTACATTGTTTGACCTTTCACGGACAAAATTTTAACTTTTACATTTGTGTGAGTAAGAAATTGGTTTGATCTGTCGAACTGTATTATTTTTCAGGTCACACGGATATCACTAAACTTCTCATGGACAATAGAGCCGATGTTAATTTCAAAGATGATCCTAATTTGACGCCTATTTGTCAAGCTGCGATAAAAGGTAATTTTAAATATTTATTTTCACTAAATAGGAAATTGTTTTGATCTTTTCCATTGATCGGTATTATTTTTCAGGTCGCGAGGAGTTGGCTAAATACGTTCGTAAAATGAGTGGACAAAAGTCATAATCGGATGATTTCTTTCGACTCCCGTACTCGATTGTCCATTAATTTCAAAACATTTTTTGTCAATCTTTAACCATACCGATACTGTTGCTTTGTTGGAACATCAATTAAAGTTCTGTCAAAAAACAGCTCAAGTCTTTTAAATTGCTTACGGTATTGATATTGGTATTAGTATTGAGTAGAATTTTTTTTTTTAGTTTTAGTATTTTCTTTGCAATTTCTTCGAGGATTTGCCTTTCTCTTTTTACTTTTACCATTCAAGTGGTACATTCTTTTTTGCGACATTACTTGTACGTCTGGGCACTGAGTATGAGATTCGCTTATGTCTTTTTTCAACGTATTCAGTATTCACCTTATTTTGTGATGTAAAGTAAATATGATTCCGTACTCTAAAGCCTTTGTGAGGTACTTTACACTACAAAAATGTAGCTGGCATGGAATATCACCTCAAAAGTGGTTTGTTGTCAGCGATATGTGGTGCATTCAAACATTTAGTTTGTAACGTTATGTAAACGACGATCCATCTGTGGTTATTTTTTAACTTTGAAACGACTTTGGAACGGAGTGTGTTTTGTACATACCGAGAAGATGTAAACATTTTAGTATTCAAATAGCCTCGTCAAAAAAACACCACTCATCATTTCAAGAGTGAAAAATATTTACTTAAATTTTCAATTCAATTGCGTTGTTTTTCAGACCATAATGAAGGTGATGAAAGAATAAATGTAAACATCTGATATTTTCAATGCGATACATTTGATGTGGAACGCCAAATTGAACACACGTGCACAGGTGCAACTGTAATTCCATCGTTCGTTTGATATTTTTTCTTTTAAAAACATGTGTGCGATAACACTAGGTGAATTTTAGTTAGAATCGTCATTGTGCGTGGATTTAATAATACTGTTAATGTGTTGCTTGCTGAGTGCTGACGTGACCACACTCGAAAAGTATATAAGAAGATGCGTTCGATTCGTATGTCCATCAAACAGTTCGTCAATTCTTATCAGTTGATACGTTTACAGTAAACTTTTGATAGTTCGAAGCTGGAAAAATGCTGAGTCAAAGATCCTTCACACTGCTGCTCATTGGCTTGGTGGTATCCCAGGTGAGTCGACAATTTTAGTCAATTTTTTGTAATTTTAATTTTGCTTGGAATTCTTTTCATTTGCATATTTTGGATCAAATTCTTTTACATTTGATTCTGTCAGTCGAATATTTAAGATAATTTTTCCTAAACTAATTTCGAAAAATGTCCATTTTCAAGTTTTTCGATAGAAAAATAAATAATCTTCCACTCTAAAAAGAAAATGTCCATCGGAAACTTTTGTTCGAATGAAAAACAGTTGATAATCATTATAATAATCTCATCCAATGTTCCCATTCCGATTGTATCACTTTATTTTATTTCCACAGGTCCTAATCGTGGATGTGAATGGAGACAGTAAGAATAAAGCTCCATTTCTTTATCAAGTTTCACTCTCGGTTTTTTTCGGTTTTTGTCATATCTCCATTTCATTCTATTTTTTCTATGAAATCGAAGAGAGCCTCTGAATAGCGTAATATTCATTTCCCTATCACTTCGACACTTCCACGCGCTCTTGCGTAGAAAAGTTCATCTCACAGACACAAGACATTTTCTTTCGATTCACTTCACTGATCTACTTCCTATTTTTTTCAATTTTCAGTAAACGAAAAAGACGGAAATGGAAATACAGCTCTGCATAGAGCTGCTGATACTGGTAATTTTGAGCATTTATATTTTTAAAAATGCTTTGTTCAATCTATTTCATTGGTTCGTATTATTTTTCAGGTAAAACGAATGAAGCAAAAAAACTCATCGCTGAAGGAGCCGACGTTAATATTGGAAATAATTATAATCTAACAGCTCTTCACTTAGCTGTTGATAAAGGTAATTGTTGAATACTTCACACACAAAAATAAGTGTATAGATAATTTACTTTACTATTTT